CTGTGTGTGTGTGTGTCTCTCTGTGTGTGTGTGTCTCTCTGTGTGTGTGTGTCTGTGTGTGTGTGAACAACTTGTTTTCTCAGGCCGATGAATCAGTGCTAGTGTGATTGTAGGTACAAATGGTCAAAATGATTTGATTATATTTAAAAGATTATTGCTCACCCACTAACTTTCACCTGTTGAAATAACTTCAAAGGGCTAATACAACCCATAAAATGCAGTTTTCCACTTCCACCTACCTTATCACTGAAAGGCTTTTTAGAGCCCAAAATGACTTGATTTCACTCATTGGGGATTCTGCTGTATTGTGGGTAATGTATCACACTGCATATATCGTCTTTTGTCACAAACAATGAGACTTCTGAAGACTACACAAATGGTCTCAGGTCATGTAGTATTTTAGTGTTCATAAGACATCTATATCAGTGCTGTATTCATGTATTATTCCATATGAATGTTATGCTAAATCAAATGAAAATATCTCATTACGATCGTTTCTGGTTAAGGTCCTCCCAAAGGCAGCTAATGTAGTATTGATCAGATAATGTGTAATCAGTCGAACGGGAGGTGGTCAGTGATTTTGTATCTGTCTTTACAGAGACATTGCTAAGAACTCTTTGCTACGGTGGCCCACTTTCATATATTGGACTGTCCTAGGCGTGTACGACGCCATCGTGATGTTCTTCGGTGCTTACTTCCTGTTTGACAACACCACCTTCACCAGCAACGGACAGGTAACCTCCATGTTTCTATGACAGCCCCCTTTTATTTAATTTTTTATTGACAACAAATATCCACAGTCTGCTTAATGAGGCTATTTCCAGTTTCCAGGCTATTTAAAATGGTAAAGTAGCACATATACAGTAATAACAGAAAACCATGGATGTTGGACATTTAGATCTAGATTAAACTGCCGGCTGCATACTTCGACTGAACGCCTTTGTTTTTGATTTCCTGTTATAATCTGTGAGTTTGTACATTCTCGGCTCATGCCTATCATGATGCTGTTCTCTGTGAAAAGCATCTGTAATTTCCTGCTTTCATTTGTCTTTTTGGAATGTTTTAAGTGCATTAATGATCATTAACCAAGAATATTTTTTCTTTGTGGCTTAAAACCTTGCTACAGTTAATACACATTGAACCTGGGTAATAAAAAAGGTGGGGAATAAGCTTTAATTGATAGACTCCGAGTGGATTCTTAATATGAAACATCTGAGACAGACTTTTTTTGTTTTTGTTTTTTTTTGTAACTCAAAACTGAAGGTGGTCTTGTTGGTTGGTAAATAAAATTTAGAGTGAGAAAGATGCCGGGAGTTTATTTTCACAACAAATGTGCAACACGTGACGTTAAAAAGTGTAGTACATGTCCAGCCCCTCAATCGACAGAATAACCTTCATATGCATTTATAAAAAAAAAAAGGAACTACATTTTGGTGGAGTGCATAATGTGTGTACTTTAAAAGTTGATAGACGTTCTCCCATTCACATCCAAGCCACGACAGCATGGCGGGGTTTTCCACCATCTTCCTCTGTGTTTCTCTATTTGTTTCCTTTCATTTTCAAACAGCGTTACTCTCCTAGAAACCTTTTGGACTGTGTTGGGTTGCTTGATTTCACTTTTTTTTTATGCATTGAATTTTTATTCTTCTCCAGCCACAATACTGTTGTTTATTTTTTTATGATTTTCTTCTTCTGGCCTTCTCCTCTTCTTCTTCCTCTCCTCTTACCTTTGTGTTGCTTTTACTTTTTGCTTCTCTTTTCTCCTCCCAGCTAATGACAACCAACACACAGATGGTAAGCCTGTCCCTGTCTCTCTGTCATCTCTCCCTAGTTTCAGTTTCCAACTTCCTGTTACGTCCCATCACACAGCCTGATGCCACCAAATCACCCATCATTGGTTCATCTCATGTGCAGCCCTTAGCGCTTGCTGTAGACACATCAACTGTAGACTTTTGTGTAGTGACCTGCCTTTTGCTTGCACCATGCTCCTATAGTGATCACAATCCTTAACTATTGTGTGTAAGCATTGTGTGTGTTACAACTTCTTCGGTTAAAAGCAGGGTAAAAACAGATATATAGAAACTGAGTCGCACTACTACTTCCATTAACTGACATTTGAGACATTTAGTCATCTTTCTAATCTAATTCTCTTTCAGTTGATGGTGCTCCTTTTAGAGCAGAAGAACATTGTCACATTTGTGGCCACTCTCTGAGCCATTAGGACTATTTATAGGCTTATTTGTGAAGAAATAATTGGAGTCTAAATGGCATGCAAAGAAGTTGATTTGAATGAATTTGAAGCTTTTTCTATTTGTATAGAAAGTAAAATGTGAATTAAGTGCATCTGCGTATGTAGACAGCTGCATAGAAAAACACCAGAACAATAAAAACAGTCTTTCAATAACAGGTTAGTATTGTAAAAGATGTTCTGTGCTGCCAAGTGATTTAGAATGAATGCTTATTATAGTAGATTATACATTAGAGAAACTGAGTACGACAAATTTTGGAAAGGTCCTGTTAGATGGGCCAAACTCCATTATCAAGTGCCACTATTCATTTATAGATGTACAAACAAGACTCCATTGACAAAAACAGTCATTTTAGCAAGCAGATAATCTTAAACACACCTAAAACTGGACTGAAACAAAATAAAACTTACCAAAACAGTCTTTGTTAGTTCTTCCAGAGTCTTCAACAATCACCAACTCTGGTTGGTCAATAAAAAACCTCTTTTACTAACTTAAATAAGAAAATAGCTGCAAATAAGGTGCTATGGCAGCCATGTAACATTAGGTAGTCCTTGGGAACAATTGCAGCCGTCAAAGTACGTCCACTAACTAAGTAACTTCAAAGTTCATACATTCAAAGTGGACAGAAATATAATAAAACTCATAAAAAACGTCTTTTTGTCTTTCCACTGTTCCAATATTTAACGACTTTAATTCAGTTTCAGTCGCTCTTCACAGCTGTACAGCTGCACGCATGGCCAGGGTTCAAGTTCAAGGTTACTTTTTTGTTTTGTACCCAAAGGTAGATTTGGTTTGCAGTAATAAAACAAGACATTCCTCTTGACAAAATATAAAAGCAACAAACAACTCAGACAACAGACAAACATGTCTAAATACAAACATGGTACAGATAAATGTAAATGTAAAAGTGCTCCAGGCTCTATGAATCGGCCATTAGAAAAAACCCATTAAGATAAATAACCACTTAGATTAAAATGGGTACAAAATAGCTAAAAATAATACAAATAAAAAATAAAAACTCTGTGCCATATTATAACTTGTTGATCTGAATGATCGCTGCTGAAACATAACTATTTTTATAGCGCTTTGTTCTACATCTTAAGGCCAATAAACCACCGTCCAGAAGGAAGAAGCTGAAATTCACTGTGCAAAGGGTGCAAGTCAACATTTAAGATCGAGCTGGTTATCCGCTGTAACTGTCTGCTGTACAGGGATTCTGGGTTAAACTGTGACTCACCAATCAGCTGACTAGAACATTTAACAGTTTAACAGTTTACAGGCCAGACCGGCTATGTAAACAATTTAATTGTATTAGATCAAACATTTTGAGGCCGTTGACTTTGTCTTTGCACTTGGGATAGCTGATAACACTGACCAAAAGACCAAAGTCTGGGCTTAAAAACTATGTCTAATATGAGGCATCATTTCATTTGCCCCGATTACATCAACGTAACAACCACCATATATTTAGGTGACCTTCTGAAAAGCTTAATTTTCTTATGTTTTAATGCTTTTCTTTATGTTCTTATTCCTTATATTAGTCTTTCCGTTGGATTTACCAGTTTGAAAAATAGAAATGTTTGAAATTTATTATAATCATTCTTGCATGTTAGAAGCGAGTGCAAAGTCCAAATGGCAGAGTTATGACATTAAATTGGGGTTAATGGGTTTGATTTTGGCAAATAATCAACTGTTAATATGACACCTTGGTATAATAAGATATGATGACTGATGAAGGTGATTTCTAGCAGTATGAGCTGTCTTATGTCATGAGCATTCTGAAGTAATGTCATTAATGATTAGAGTTAATAAAAGATGGCATTTACCATAAACCCTGTAGCCTTCAGTCACAAAGAGCAGAGTGCCTTTAAATCATTTTCCGAAATCTTGCCTAATGACACACACTGTGAACTGCAGTAGAGACACTGTCCTGCTTCATGTTAGCGGTCTTTAAAGGGACAGTTTACCCCAAAATCAAAAATGGATCATTTTCCCCTCACTTGTTGCACTGTTTATCTATTAGATTGTTTGTTTTAGTGTGAGTTGCAGAGTTTGAGATGTCTGCCTTCTCTCCAATATAATGGAACCAGAAGGAACTCGAGATAAACCACACAGTTTCTTGTTACTAGTTTCTTTGAGCATATGTCCAAAACTCAACAACTCACACCAAAACAATCTAGATGGATAAATGGCACTACGGGTAAGAGGAAAAATATGTATTTTTGATTTTGGGGTGAACTATCCCTTAAAGTTTCATATTCGATACATGACTAATTGCTATTTTTTGGTTCATAGATGGCACATGTAGCGCATTTAAAATGTTTTCCTATCAGGTTGAAATGCACATCACTTCTTCTTGTCACCTCACCCGTTTCCCATCCATCAGCCATCTGCTAATCTATTCTTCACCTGGATGTTGCTGTCTGAGCACCCTGCCATCTGTTGGATTGATTGATTCCTTATTGAATTTGCACTTCAGTTTATCTCTGTGCATCATTAACACCAGGCCTCTATGCTGATATGAATGATCTCAAATAAGTGCATTCGCTCTTGAAATGTAACAGATTATTGCCAGGTGTATAGAAGGTGTTTAAGCATTTAAACACTGTTTTATGACACAGATATTCAATTACACATTTGCTTAGAATCTGTTACATTTCCATCTGGTTATGTGACATTGTAAAAGCTGCAAAAAAATAAAAAATACTTTTTATACTTAGCGTTGAGACAGTATGAATGGCATTCAGCGTGAATTTTACTGGACTGAATCTTTGTAATTTGTAATGTGTCACTAACCACATCTGTTGTCACTTTGCCCCTGCAGATGTTTGGAAACTGGAACATTTGGGAGCGCTGGCTTTCACTGTTGCTTGTATTACTGCTTACACATTCCAAAAGTAACACACACACCACACACACAACCACACACAACACACACAGCACGCACACCAGAACACACACACACAACAACCAGCACAGTGCTCATCGGCAGAGGCAGCGCTGAAGCGGGAAGCTGTATTAAGCTTTGACGGTATCAATAAAAGTAAGAAATTTGACAGGTTGACAGGTCTCTCCTCTCATCTCTCAACCTTCCTCTGTAGTTGGCTCTAGATACTCATTACTGGACTTGGATCAACCATTTCGTCATCTGGGGCTCGCTGATTTTCTTTGTGGTCTTCTCTCTGCTGTGGGGTGGAATCATCTGGTAAGCTCTGAAAAAAAGATGATTTTTACATTTTTGTTTATAATGTGCTCAGATAATGTTTTGAGTTTTTAGATTTTTATGTAAAACCTAAAAACTTAAAGAAGGATATATTTTTTTCTCTCCTCCTCTCCTCCAGGCCCTTCCTCAACTACCAGAGGATGTACTATGTGTTCATGCAGATGTTGTCCAGTGGTCCGGCCTGGCTCAGCATAATCCTTCTGATAACAGCCAGTCTGCTGCCAGATGTGGTGAAGAAGGTTATCTGTAGGGCGATGTGGCCCACAACAACTGAACGCATACAGGTGAGTGCATACACATACATATCGCTGAGTATGTACTTACCACCAACCAGCTGGGAAATAACTAAGAATTGTATCTATGATTGTATTAAAGTGGAGAATTTTTCCTATTTGTTAGATTAATGAAATTATTTTGTAATAATTGTACTTGTACTGTAACTGTATTAAAAAAAGACCACGGTTGAGAGGATTTTGAGTAACATTTGCTGAACTGAAAGGGATCTAAATCATTATCAGTATCTGTTTACAGCTTTACAGATAAACATATAATGCTGTACATTAACTGTGATAATACAGTGTGTCTAACTGATGACTGTGGGTCAGCAGATGTATTCTGACTTTGGCTACGTCCCCGCTCTGCTGGATGTAAGTCAGTAAGCCTCGTTCTGTCTGTGTGCAGTGCTTTTTATTTCTAAATCAGAAGAAGTACAATAGAGATATGGAATGTATTTTTAGCAACTAAAACTCAAGATATTTTATTAATATAGGGTTGAAAATGCAGCAATCATAGCTGATATCTCTCTCCTCTACACTCCTCTTCACTGTGCTGGGAGCGGGTATTCTGCTATGAACAGTATGTTTTGTTAGTAATGACATAATAGGAATTGTTAGCAGTTGAGTTTCAAAAACACTTTATGAAACAATATATAAGAACAAGGAGAGTTGTGCAGCTTGCAAAATAAAAGTAAACAATGTGCAGTGATTTGAGATGGCAGCAGGCTGTTCATCAGCACGTTAAACCGATCATAAAAACGAAATGTTCATTTAAAATCGTTCTATTCAGTTCAGCACATGACATGTCCAAGTGAAAAATGAGATTTTAGCACCTGGTGTTACAGCTAAAGTTGATCAGGCATCAACTAATCTTGGCTGCAGAATGATATGATTGGATGTCTGAACAGTGAAATAACAAAAGGCAGTCATTAGAAATGCTGTAGGATTCAGTAGTCAACAAAACAGAAATCGTGAATAAATGTTTACCATCCCAGGCTCTGGGATCTAGTCACATGTGAGCTATTTTAGGTGCAGGTGCAGTACATGGAGAGCTAGGTACTTTCCACCGAGCCTGTATTATTACACTGTATCTGATGGTTGGATGTAGCTGCTGTTGTTAGACCAGTCTCTCATGGTTTCACTGAGATCATCAGTCAGTGTGGACAAATATATGTAGCAGCCTGTTAAATGTTGTTTGTTTTCAAACTGTTTGCAGTGAGGTCTTCTATATTTCTTCCTTTATGTCCTAAACTGCTCCTCCCCCTTAACCTTCCTCAGAACTGTGGTTGTGGTGCGCTAATAACCAACTTCCTGAAACCTGTCTGATATTTCCCTCAGAGACACACTTTATCTTCTCCTGTCTGTGAATGTGAACCTTTACCTTATACCGATATCAATCGCTCAGGTTGATAATTTTGAACGATCTGATTGATTGTCAAACCTTTACTCTTCCCTCTCCCTGTCCACTCCTCCCTCTGACCTCCTGGCTCTTCCTTCCTCCTCCTCCTCCTCCTCTTCCCCTATTCTCCTCCCTTCTTCTCCTCTGTGGCAGACTAAGCGTCGGTGCCTTGCCTCCGAGCCCTCCACCATCTTTATGCTGTCTCAGACTTCCAGCAGAATCAGTTTCTAACCCAGCCCTCCTAGAGGTGACCCTCTGCCTTTCCTCCTGTCAACTAGTATAGAATTCCTCTTTCTCTGTTTTTTTTTTCCTTTTGTGTATCCTGTCACTCTCTCCCTACCACTGTTTTGCATGAAGTAACTGTTTTCCGTCAAAAACTGATTGCATGCCACCTGGATTTACACAGGCTGCCTGCAGTGTAAATGCAGCGTGTGTGTGAAGTGTTTTTCTTTTGTGACACTGAGGTTAGAACTGTGTGTATTTTAACGTGTATGATGGTAGACCCATGTGTTTGTCTCTGATTGGTGTGTGTGTGTTGTGTGTGTGTGTGTGTGTGTGTGTTTGGCGTGTGTCCAACAGCGTGTGGTCAAAATAAACGAGTTTGAGAGGGCCTGGCTACGGAAGTTGCTATCTGACTGCCTTACTAGATGGAGTAGGCTGACACAGAAACGATAGAGGGGCTTCATCACGTAAACACACACCCCTGCCACCGTGTGTGTGTGTGTGTATGTAATGGTTGGACTGGGTTATGGTGGGTGATGTTAACATCCAGCGGCGACGGGGTTTACTTTGCCGTGGTGTGTGGTTTCACAGATTGGACTTTTGAGATTTGTACCTGACTAACACATGGGTTATATACTTGTTTGTGTGTGTGTGTGTGTTGTGTGTTGTGTGTGTGTGTGTGTTTTGAGGGTTTTAGAAAGTTGGATGATCTAAACATTGTCCAGGTATCTAAAGTATAAAGCACTCTGAGCCTGTTGGGGGATTCTTTACATGGAGCTCTGGCGCTCTCTACTGACACCTTTCAGCATTGCTGCAGAGCCAAAAGACTTTACTCACAGTGGGACTGTCGAACACCCATGCATGTATATTGGTCTTGTGTCTATTTGCACGGTTTTGGTTAATTTTATGTTGTTGTATGGCGTTATGTATTCATCTACATATTTTCTTTGCTTGGGTTGCATCGTTTGTGTCTGGACAGAGTGGACGGGACATTATCATCACAGCTGGCCAATTAGATTAAAAGCAGTGCAATACTTTATTAATTAGATTATGTAAACAATTGGATTGTCTGGTAAGGCAGAATTGTGTCCAGGTTCAGGTTACAGGTTCATTCAGCCATAACCTCCCTTTAGTTGAAGCTCCGGTGGTTCTCAATCTGTTTGATGTCAAGGACCCCCAAATTGATACACATCATCTTACGGAAGAACTCAATTTTATGAAACTGGGATCCCTGAGACTGGACCCGTATTTGATGGCTGGAACCCCTTCAAGGACTCCTGGGCATCCACGGACCCCAGCTTGAGAACCACTGCTCTAATCTCTATTCCAAAACATCTGCATCTGAACAAACTGCAGCTGCTCCTGCAGTTATAAGCAGCTATTAGTTATTATTATTATCAGTATTGAATAAATCAAGGAGCAGACATTATCTTAAACACAAATTTAAACATAAAGTCAATCAGATTAATCAGAGGTATTAAGTGATCAGTCTGCCTTCAAAACCAACAAATTACATCGAAATCATCAACCTTTTATACCTTTTATAACACACTGGAGGCAGCAAGTGTCATTTATTGGTACCAATAAATGACACTTCCTGCCTCCAGTGTGTTATTAATGTTACTGTAGCTTCAGTCAGTTAGAATTCTGGCCAGCTGCAATAACAATGTCTCCTCCACCTGTTCCTGAGATCCCTCTACAGTACCAGTACAGTAACAGTCTCCTTCTCTGTTTTTACTCTCCCTTTCTCCCTTTCCTCCTCCCTCCTTACACACATACAGAACGCTGATAAACTCTACAAGGGCCAGCTGTCCGAGTTCACCCCCCTGGCGTCTCTCCACGCCCCATCAAAGGCCGACAGCCACCGGCGAGGCTCGGGCACCCAAAGGAACGCCCCGAACCCTCGAAGGTCTGAACCCTTTAGCAAGAAAATCATGTTCACACGCTGGCAAAATACGCCAGACTACTGCACCTTCACCCCCCTCCTCCGATTTGCCGACGGCTCCCGCCACTCAAAGCAGGGACACACCTACAGTGAGGCGGGGCCAGAGACCTCGGTCTAATTTATTTCTGTCCAGTTCCTGTTCTTATTTTCTAATATTAGATACAACTTGGAGTTGAACTGAACAAAGCAGTAATTCTAATGTTTTGCAGAGCTGACCAGGTCGCTACTAGCAGAGCTGGAAAGTTACACAAAAGTAACTTAAACTCCTTTATTTAAGTTACTGAGCTGGGAGTCAAATAATGTTAGATATCTTTAATCCATCTGGAAGGGATTACAACGAAAGTGACCTTCACAACTGTTCCCAAGTCAGCAGCCAAGTATGGCACAAAGTACTATGGGACGGCTCTGGAAAAGGACTCCATCCACAGGGCCTCGCTCGCCACTACACCGTGCAAAGGGCTCAGTGTATTGATGTCACAACAAACAGACTCTTTGATTTCTTAAACTATATTGTGTCACACTGAAAGTATGTGCACTGGCCCTTTATGTCTGCCTGCCTTTGATAGCTGGCAGCTGAAGTGTACTTTACTCCAGTTCATAGGATTTATATGACTTTTTAAAAAAATGCCGATAATCATGACGTGTTGTGTGCTGCTGCTGCTGATTATGTTGATGATGATGAAGACAGTAACAGTACTTAAGCCAGCTCGAGCTTTCTCTGACCAAGCATGTTCTTTTCTTCATTCCTACCATCCCTCTTTCTTTCTTTTCTGTCTGTCTGTTTGTTCCGCCTCTCTTTAGGACTAACTGGTGTTGCCTGTGTGCGAACCTATTATCTCGAAACACTCCCTAGGACTCTCTGAGATCGAACAACATTGTAAGGAGGGGTGTAGTAGAGCAGTGAAGTGTTGGACAAGTGGACCCAGATGGTCTTTTTTTTTTTTTTTTTTTTTTTTTTTTTATACTTTTAAGTCCCATTGTATATGAAATCTAAAAGAAAAAATAGACAACTTTAGCTCCACATCCAACACTTAAAGGTTTATATGTAAACTTTCTGAAAACTGGTTTTAATAGTGACACCAGTGGCTGTTAAGTGAACCGCAGTGTTCTATTGCTGGTGCAGGCACTCCGTACAGTCTTGTAGGCACGAGCGAGCATCAGCCAGGAGTTCAGATAGTATTTTGCTAGCAATAACGTTAGCAAGCAAGCTATGGTTAGCCAGCCAGCCAGCTGCATTACATGAATAATGTTATCCACCGCTGGCCGCCCATACGTTGGCAGTAAAATGTGATTACATAAAATGCTTTAGAATCTTACATATGGAACCTTTAAGCTTTCTAGGTAATGTAGTGTTTGGTGGGATAGATGTGTGTGTGTGTGTGTGTGTGCTGATAGCTAGCAGTTGTGTTATTGTGTGTACGTTGTATTCATCTCTGCAGAATCTCCTTTTGTCTTTTTGTCTTTAAAGCAATTTAACTGTAGACCTTCATCTTATATTTATCCACAATGCCATATGCAGAGACTAATCAGTTTTTATGGCATGTTCTAGTGATAGAGTCCAGTAGAAATAGTTATGTGATGACTGCCTTGCTATTTCTTAATGCCTTAATGTCACCTTGTATATCACATTATCCTCCACAGAGACCATTTACCAAAGAAACAGAAAGACAATATGGCGTCCTTTTAACAGCTGATAGATATACTGTAGTGCAATGTGTCAATGTACACACTCGTGGTTCTGTGAAACAATTTAAATGAAAGTGGCCACTAGAAAGAGTATGAAAATAAATAATGAATGTCATTAATAGGATGGTAGAAAAATGCAGCTCCAATGCAGCTGATACTATTTTAGCTTACTTGCGTTCACTTTTTCTCAAAGCACCTTAAAAATGAACATACAAAACCTATCCTTACTGAGATAATCACAACACAACAATACGATTCTATCATCTGCCCCAAAATACGTGATGCCTTAAATACACACAGTTTTGAAGAGATTCAATCATTTCACGTAAAGTCATTTTTTGATGAGAGCACAGATACGTGTCCATTCAAGTCTCACCAGAAATGATGACTCTAGATCGATACCACTCTCATGTCTGCATGGATAAATAGGGAGCTGGAGCCAGAAGCTGGTTAGTTTAGCTTAGCATAAAGATTGGGAATGCAGGGAAACTGCTTGCTTTGGCTCTGTCAGTAGGTAAAAAAACACACCTCTGTACCTTGCGGTGTGTTCAAAGTTATAAACTGGTTCATCACCTAACGGATCAGTAAAATAAGGAAAGTCTGCCGAAAACAAAATTATTTTTATGAATAAAAAAGTGTATGTGCCCAAAGGAAATTTGGGTGTCAGACATGCATACCCATTCATGTCACAGATGTTTTTCTCCTAATGGTGTCAACAGAATATATTTGTAAGATATTTTAGTTTGCAGGTCAGCATCTAATAGCTCCGTGTAAATGCCTTTTAAAAAAAAAAGGCCTCTGCAGTGCAGTCTTTGGATTCTGTTTCAACACTTATCCTCTCTGTCCTTCTTTGTAGCTGTCTCTCTCCTCTGTCTTCCTCTCATTCTCACTCTGGTGAAGTGATACTGACCTGGAAGTTTTCCTACCTCTGTCGGAGCCGCCTCCACCCGTCTGGTCGTCATCATCTTCCCCTCGTCTGTTCCCTTCTGCGTCTTCTCGGCCATTCCCCCATCCATACATCCATCCATACATCAATCCATCAATAAATTATTGTGAGACGGAATAGAGAAGATGTTTTGTACTCCACTTGTAACAGTACTTCTATGAACCAAAGCCTTGTTGCTGCTAGATACTTTTAGCTGCTTTACATTAGGTGCCTTGTGGTAGTTTCTCTGTCTCTGCCAAGCTATGTTTTCTCAATTTATGGTAAATTTACGGCTAATATTAGGCATTTGGATCATACGAAAGCACTGCAGGTGATGGATGTATGGGTGCACGGCTAGGGAGTGACTGAGAGAACGGATAAGTGAGTGAAAAGATGAATGTAAAAATTAGTTTTCCGCGGGTTATACTGTCCATGAAGACTTAATCAGAACAAACACAGCACTGAAATACTACTGATACACAATCGATGAACAAATGAATTACTTCTTGCACCAAAACATTCAACAACTTATGTTTAATATCTGTTTTTTATTGTTTTTATTCTGAATGTTTTATATATTCTGTCCTGGGGGGCATCTGTCTCTCAACTGTTATTTTTTACTGTTTTCTATATCATGTGTAAAATTCCCCTTTTACCACAACAAGAGTGAAGGTCTCACTCAGTGGTCAGAGCACACTGGAAAGATATCAGTCGGATGTGATGTTTAATGAGATAGAAAACTTGAAGAGCTCAAAGTTACAAAGTGAGATTGTCTTTAATATTCTGCGTATGTTTCCTTTTATTTAAACGTGTCTGATTCGCTTCTCAATATTCTGGTTTTCTACTGCAATATTTATATAGAATATTAAGGCGGTAAAGCAAAGGGGTTCGTATACTGTTGGACTCTGTGGTACATTCTCTGATTTGCATATTAAAGGGTCACTTCACCCAAATTACAAAAGAAAAAAGAAATAGTCCCTATGGAAACAACATAATATCTATAATATATAATAACACTCACAACCTGGGAAAATAAAACCAAAACTGTCTGCAAGTGAGTGAGAAAATACTGTATGTTTTATTCTGTAATTTGAGTGAACTGACCCTTTACATTCAGAGTCATTAAGAACATTAATCAATCTCCTACTTAGTGTCTGAAACCAAATGAGTTTTTGACAGATACAGGTTCTTGAAGGGAGACGTTTTTCAACCAAAACTGTGCCAGTATACAGCATTTTGTAATTTGACCATGTTTTCCCATCCAAATCCATAAGTAATGAGACAAAAATCAGAGTAAAATACCCCCAGATAAAAAAACAACAACAACCTAATGTTCAGTATCTGAGTGCAGACAGACACGTTGGTCCCGTCAGAGGTGGCTGATGGTTCATAACTCTTTAATGAGCCGGTATCCATTAATTATGTATGTATGTGTGTATGTATGACCACAATTTGCTCAGAGAATGAATTAACGCAGCGATTACCTACTCTGATCAGTATAATCAAACTAAAATTGAAATATTGCCTTGCGTGTAAATGACCCATTGTGACAAATGTGGCCTCAGAGCACCAGTCATGTGGTAGTGCATAAGTGTTAGAATTAAATGTGATGTATAATCCCTCCATCACAATCGAGAATCAGTTACTGGAAATGAGCTCTTTCTACCCACGAAGTAATCCACAAATCCTTTGCTGTGGGATAAAATAGAATCACCTCTTTATGAATGACTTCTGTCTTTTGGAGAATTATCAGAATATCCTTATTGCCATAGCCCCTTTCTCTATGTGAGGTCATCTGTCCAAGAGATAGTTAGGTACCTCCTGTCTATCTGGAGATTAGTCAGAAAACTGTGGAATCCACATGAATAAATTAAAATAACCACAGTTACTGTAGTGCTTTTTGTATGTATCTTCTCTTTTTTTTTTTACTTCCTGGAGACAGTATTTGATGTGTGTCTTATTTATGTAGAAGAGTATTTGAACAGCCGAACTGAGTTGTGACAAAGCAACACTGGACATGTATGTATGTGCGCATAGCTTTAAAGATTCAAAGAAAAGAGATTTCCGTGGTGTTAGCTCAGTTACACCCGTGCACTGATCCGTCTTGTCTGATGATTGACACTTTGCTGTAGAAACTTTCAAAGCCATTAACGGTGGATTTAAGGTCTTACTGTACCAATCACTCTTGTCCTCACTGTCCTGATCTTTCAAGACCACCTAAACTGACAGCCTTCGAACAGAATGTTTATCTTTCTCTTTTACAATGTATTACTGTATAGCGTCTATATTTCTCATAACCAACCAGTATCTATAAATTGCTGTATGCTCAGATGCAGTATATACATAAATATATATATATATATACAATATATAAATGTAGTTATGTCAATTGATGTACAGTTTTGGGGTCTTTTTATATACAGTTTTTAACAGAGTCATATCAAGATTTACTTGTGGATTTTTGCCAACATTTCTGTAGCTATCAACGGTAAACAACTGTACATTTGCTTGGAAATAAAAGCCAGAAGTGGAAATATAAAAACCTAAAACAATGTGATTTTTGTTTTCAATAATGTGAAGTTAAATCTCATCTGTGATTATTTGTAGCTGCACTTCACGCAGCAGCCACAAGGATGCAGTAAAGTATTTCAGATGTGTCAGACTTTTCTGGGGCCTTTAAAGATCTGAGTTGATAAATCAAATGCACCTGAAGAGTTTCTAAATACCTAAAGCTGATGAAATACAAATAAAAGGATAGGTCGCGAGTAGAGGTTTGAGCATGTGCATCTGACCAACCCGTGCTTACATATTCTGCGCTGTCTCTAACGACACTATATAAATAAATAAATGGTTAAGAGAATTAGAATTTTTAGATTTAATGTGTTCCCCAAAGTTGCTTCAGGGCTGCCGTCTGCACCATCTGAGGACGTCAACAAGATTAGGATGGAGGTTTTGGATCGATTGGATTCTCTTCATCCTTTTCACTTCTCATCTGCGTTGATCTCCACGTCCTCTCCTCCACAGCTGGCAGCCGATGAGACCTGCTAGTGTGTCTGACAGGGATGGAGAAATATCTAGGGCAAGACTGTCAGAGGTGAAATCTGGGTAAGAGGGGAAAAAAATATGAAAAGTAGATGGTGAAAAGTGGCTGTGCGTTTCCATTGTGGTTGCACAGACCTCTCTTACTTTCCCCAGGGGGGCTTTTCTCAGTTGCTAAATTGCAATGACTCATTGAATCATTTTAAAACGGAATGCAGAACCAAAGTCTTAATGTTTTACCGCCTATTTCATCAACTCCAGCATCAAACTTA